CTGAAACAGATTCATCCCTTCCTCCACAACATCAGGGCCAGCATTGCAGGATCCTCAAGGAAGATACAATTAAATTGTCCATTGCCTGTATAATTTTGATCTCTTTTACACAGAGTGGACTTTGGTTCCATATTTAGACATTTGGATCTCATTGGTTTTTGACTTAGACTCCAAGGCCTACACTAAGTATGACTAGGACAAGTTCTGGCTGCTAGGTGTTTGTAACATGAACAGTTTTTCTTATCCAGAATGGCAGAAGTAAAGATGCAGGTTGATACACGTAGGGACTAACAGTACTGAATGCGTCTGGGGGAATACTCATGATTGTGGGAGTATTCTTGCACGGCCTCTGAACAGATACTCATGGGCATCAGCTTTTTTTTATGGATAGTTCTTTGCAGTTCTAGATTGTGCTTGATAGATCTGAACTCCTGGGAGAAGTCTTGACAAGTTACTGTTTTAGAGTACAGAACCATCTTACGTGGATGATCAGTAGGATTCTGTAAGAGTAACATTTCCAATTTCAGCATCGTAAGATTTGTGGCTACTACATCCGTGTGTGTGTGAGTTGTTTTAAAACTTCCCTTGGAATAGGTAAGCTCCAAGGAGAATTCTGTCAGTCACAAAAAGTTCCCTATAGTTTTTAAAAAGACCTCTTGATCTCATATTTCTTTCAGCAATAGGAATTCAAGCCATGGCCTGACTCTCTCCTCTTTCATTGCAGCCTTTCCATGAGCTGCATGAAAGGCACACACTGCCTTCCCCGGCCCCATAGCTTTTGGCTTCAGACTGGGTGCCTCTTCGATCCGCCTCCCCAGCATCTCGGCCAATATATCAGTCAAGACCCTCTTAAAAGTGCTTGTTGAACTGCACTTCATATCATTTAGGGGCATGACGACCATTATATTATATAAATATAACCAATTCGTGTTTGTTTATCTACCTCTTAGCACCAATAGATTAAATAAATAAAAAATAAAATAACTAGGTAGTGATAATACAACATGCTGTGTAGCGTAGGGAGAAAAATACTGCCCCCCTTCCCCAAAGAAATATTGTTCTGCTTCATTTTCTTTCCTTTTAAAATAAGAAAATAGAAACTATGGGTCTCTCCCTGCATTTTAAAGCAGTCTTGGTGAATTGTAGAGGGTTTGGAGAGGCAAGCTTTATCTGCATTTCAGGTCAAGGGGACTGTATGCTGTGCAGACTGAGCCAGTATGGCCCAAATGCTCCAAACATGGCCCAGTGGAGGCATAGCTGGTCAAAACCAAATTCAGGTTCCTGGATAAGTCATTGGGTCCTGATCCCAAGAGCAAATGGGAGCAGTTGCATGTCAACCTGTCTTCCAATAAAACGGTATGAAATGATATATGTAGGGGTTAGGTGTTCCCGTTGTTGGAATGGCATACTGTAGGGCATCAACTCATGTTATCCTGCCAAGCTCTTAGGAGGACACAGATAATGGGGAATGGAATGGAGTTTACATATTGACAGCACCATAGAAACCATTCACGGCTATATGCCGCTGTCCTCAAGCTGTTGGAACAACTACTTGTGTTCCTCTAAACCCTCCCGCCGCCCCTCTACAAGTTGATTGACCCTGATTTTTAAAATGTTTGTTAGTTTATAAGAGCTCCCAGATTTCAACTGTTCTCTTCCCTTCTATGACTGTTTTTTTCCCCTTAATTGCACCATATTTGTTTCTTCCCCGTCCCCAACACCCTCAGAATTCACCACTCCCATTTTCTTTCCACATTCTTGGCATACATCCTGAATGAGAGTCCTATTTACCAGCAATTGATTGAATTGTGCCTTAAGAACCACAAGTGGATAGTCTTTTGTAAATCTTGTATCTCCCTTCATTGAGGGTGCTAAACAACTGCATCATCATATTTTTCAATGTTAAACACAAATGACCTTGATGGATCGCTATCAAAATTAGCTGAACCAAGACAGAATGGGGGAGGAGTTAGAAAGATTGCCTTGTTGGGGGAGAAATCTTGTACTGAGCATTTTGGGTGAAAACTTTAGCCAACCAAGTAAGAATTGTCGCAGTGATGTTTGTTTGGCGTTCCCCATGGTTTGCCACCATTGCCTGGTATACGACCCCTGAACATAGGGGTGCAATCCAGCTATTATTGCTAATAGATACTGTGACATATACCTATTTTCTGTGCATTTTGTCAATGTCTCTTGTAAACCAACTCAGGCAAGTTAAACAAGAGCAGCTCCCAGTTCAATTGTGGATGATCTTATATTTAACTATTTTGCTACTTGGATGTAGGTTCTGATTATCTTCTGTCGCAGCAATCAATTGTTATCTTATTGGACAAATCATGTTTATTTTAAAAATTACACCCTCCTATGAATTTGGACAAGGAATCTGTCTGCTATGCTTTACTGCAGAAAGACTTCAAGAAATGTGTCAAATTGTTTTCTCCTTTCTGTTGGATGCAATTGAAATCATTGTGAGTCCAGCGCCTGTCTCTGATAGGCTGTGCTCTTCAACAATTGTTTTCTTTGGTCAACTGTAAAAGAATGGGTTTTTTTAAAGAGAAAAACTTTTCTCCCTTTAATTTCCATTTCTAATCTCTGTTCTTTGACCCCTTGTTTTTGTTTTTGCATGAGGCAGGTTAAGTTGGCTCAGATCCAAAGTTGCGATTACAGATGGACACTGACTCCATTTTAATCTTCCAGCTTGATATTTGCCACAAACTGCTTTACTCCACTGTTTCATTTTTTTAAAATAAAAGACGAAAAAATGCCAATCTTTCAGCTTGTTCTCTGATTTAAGACTTAATGTTTGTGTGGCTCTTTCAAGTGTGATTCTTCAATCCTCACAGGTAAGGAGTTGGATGGCGAACTCTTGGTACTTCAGGTGTGTGGGTGCTCAGAAACCAGAATAGCAAATAGGAAAGAATTCTGGGTAGCCCAAAAGAGCTTAAGGTTCCTCCTCCTGCTGTATAGTGAAATTTATTATCCTTCTACTTCCACTGCAAATTTTAGATAATGTGACTGAAAGGGAACATCTTTCAGAAAACTGTCAAGTATGTTTGTGTCCGAGATAGAATTCGAAAAAATGAACTTGATTTGTAGCTCAGACATTTCAGCCAGAATCAGAGTGGTGTAATGGTTTGAATATTGGGCTAGGACTCTGGGAGACAAGATTTTTAGTCCCTCTTCAGCCATGGAAACCCATTGGATGACCATGGGCAGGTCACCTAGCTCAGAGGAAGACAATGGCAAACACCCTTTGCCTTATATCCCACAGATTATCTGCTTTAAACAGAATTATATGAATCTCCACTGCCAGATAATTTAGGATAAGCAATCAGATAATCTGGGATCAGATCCTGGGATATAGGTGCAGTGTGGAAAGGGCCTCAGCCATTCTTAGTCATGAGGCTTGGCTGGACATAAGGAGACCTCCTTTCTTCCTATTCCTAATCCAGTCCAGCACAGTGACAGCTCTCCCGTTAGGCAACTGGCTCAAATGGAAAGTGCTTATTCATTCATTCATTCATTCATTCATTCAAAACATTTATATTCCGCCCTTCTCACCCTGCAGGGGACTCAGGGCAGAGAACAACATATATATGACAAACATTCAGTGCCAGGACATAAAACCATAAATATATACAAACATTAAAATCACTTATATTCACATTAAAAGTTGCTTAAAAGCCATCTCAGGTCACCATTTTGCCTCATTGCACTGCTCCAAAAGGCTTGATGCCACAGCCAGGTCTTCACCATCTTCCTGAAGGACAAGAGGGAGGGGGCTGATCTAATATTGCCAGAAAGCGAGTTCCATAACTGGGAGGCAATCACTGAGAAGGCCCTGTCTCTCGTCCCCGCCAAATGCACCTGTGATGATGGCAGGACTGAGAGCAGGGACTTTGCAGAAGAGCTTAGTTTCCGCAGTGGTTCGTAAAGGGAGATGCGTTCAGACAGGTAAACTGGGCTGGGGCCGTTTAGGGCTTTACAGGCAAAAGCCAGCACTTTGAATTGTGCCCAGTAGCAAAGAGACAGCCAGTGGAGATGATGTAACATGGGAGTTGTGTGCTCCCTGTATGCCGTCCCACTTATTAACCTGGCTGCCTTTTGTTGGACTATTTGAAGCTTCCGAACCGTCTTAAAAGGCAACCCCACGTAGAGCGCATTGCAGTAGTCTATACTGGATGTGACGAGAGTGTTACATGGCCAAGTCTGACTTCCTAAATGCTTAGACCGAGGTGATGGTCTCCACCCAGCTGCCACACTAGTGTGAGTTCAGTGCTCACTGGACTGACCTGATCCATCTAGGCTCCTGGATAAGAATTCTCCCAGTGCCATTGCTGAAGTGAGATTGAGTTGTGAGTAGCACAATGTGAGAAGCATTCTCCACTGTCATTTAAGCAGTGGTCTGTCCTTCCTTCACCATCTCCTTACTTGGAGCATTCCTTACTGAGACACTTCCCCTATCCTTAGCAGCACAGAGCCAAAGATGTTTTCACCATTCACTTTATTTCACTTTTACTTCATCTCCCTGCAAACAAATTGCATTAACGAATGGAAGCGAACTAAAAATAATAATTAAAAACACAATAGGAGGCATTCGGATGCATAAACATCAGAACTTGTACGTTACTTTTCATCAACTATGTGTTCCGAAAATATGCTTTCTTGTTTAAACGTTTTGGAAAATTAAAAAAAAAATCTAAACTTAACCCCCACCGACAGTTCTAAACTTAAGCTACTAGTTGTTGCAGTTTAGAGGAAACCAACAGGGGTGGTTCATAAGAACCTGGAGGCATTTTTTAAGAAAATAAGACATTAGAACATGCATAGGCAAACTTGGCCCCTCTGGGTGTTTTGGACTTTGATTCCCACAATTCCTAACAGCCGATAGGCTATTAGGAATTGTGGGAGTTGAAGTCCAAAACACCCAAAGGGGCCAGATTTGCCTATGCCTGCTTAGAAAGTGATTATCTAATTTCTTCGTTCTTAAGAAAATTTAGTTTGGGAAAGTAGGGTCATAATGAAGAAGTCCGCTTGCACAAGCTTATGTAAACACACTGTTGATATACATATGAACACGGTGAATCATTTCCTTTAAGTTCAAATGACATTATTCATCATTTATACAGACAGTGATTTCAATTCTTTGAATGTCAGTCCTTCTGTATTGAAAACAATTACGACCATATTCAAGAGTGAGGTTGGACACAGGTGTGGAAGAACACCAAGATTTGCAAAACCTGTAATTTTGGAGGAAGAAGTCCTTCCCCTAAATGTTCTCAGCAGTACCTTAAAAGTGAGGTGTATCAGAACTTCCTTTTTAATTCCATGGTTTTATAATTCCAAGGCCAACCTGTGGCTGTAAAACCAAACTATGGCCTTTTGAGTCCAGTCCAAGGCCATAAAGAAACTTCACCTGGGGCGACAGGTAAGGGAAAGCGACATTGAAAGAGAGCAGTCATCCCTGTGAGAAGCATTTCATCCTGTTCTTGAAGAATTGCAAAGCTAGTTTAAAATGGACCTGAGTCTCTGTGTTGGCCCGGAATTTACTGTATGTCTGTTCAGCCTTACGCTCCTCCAAATCCTTTGCAGTATCATGAGGTTGGTGACCCACACTCACATGATTGCAGGAACCGACCCGTAAACGCCCCAGTCCATCTACAAAATATTCTGAAATGAAAATCGGGGAACGACAGAAGTTAGTTAAATAAGAGAACAATTCTATGACTTAATGTTATCATACCATAACCCTGCCTCATTCACAGAATGTTATGAAGAGGTTGGTTTCAGATGCAGTGATCCTCCAGTCAAAACCCGCCACTCCAGGAATAAACAACTAAAGCAGTTCTGAGTTGGGTTGTTGTGAGTTTTCAGGGCTTTATGGCCATGTTCCAGAAGCATTCTCTCCTGATGTTTCACCTGCATCTATGGCAGGCATCCTCAGATGTGATGTTTGTTGGAAACTAGAAAAATTGGGTTTATACAAGGGTTGAATGAAAAGTAATGCCTCCACCTTCGTAACTCCTCAACAGATGGCAGTACTGGTATGTGGCAGGTACTGGCTTGTTCAGTAGACTCTCCTCTACAGTTCCATTTTGGCGGGAAGCCTTAGCGTTGAATGGTTGTGTTGTAAAAGTGCGATGTATTGAACCCTGCACAGAAAGTCAGTCAATGCAACTTAAGCAACGTGCAGTCATTGAATTCTTGACAACAGAAGGTGTCACCCCAAAGGTGATTAATAAGAGAATGCAAGCTGTTTATGGTGATTGTGTTGATGTGAGTACTGTGTGTCCTTGGGCAAGTAAGTTTAAAGATGTTGAAGTGGGAAAATCTGACTTGTGTGACAAACAAAGAGTTGGACATCCTGTGACAGCAACCACCGAGTTTCATGAGCAAAAGGTTGACAGATTGATTCAGGATGATCGTTGTATCACTCAGAAATTTCAAGCATAATCGGCATTTCACAAGAACGTGTGGGTCACATTATTGCTTTGCTTGGCTCTCGGAAGATCTGTGCACAATGGGTTGCAGAAACAGAGTGTCGACTTCTTCCGTGACGGCTTCAGAAAACTTATTCATTGTTGGCAGAAATGCATCTAATAGTTTGGTGATTATGTGTTACAGTGAATAGTGGTAGTTAAAGAACACATTTCTGCGTTTGATTTATTAAAATATTCCCATCCAAACCCAAGTAACGAAGGTGGAGGCATTACTTTTCATTCAACCCTCGTATATCTGTGGAATGTCCCGGATGGGAGAAAGAACTCTTGTCTGTTTGAGGTAATTGTGTTTCCTAGTTTCCAACAGACCTCACAACCTCTAAGGATGCCTACCATAGATGCAGGTGAAACATCAGGAGAGAATACTTCTGGAACATGGCCATATAACCCGGAAAACTCACAGCAACACAGTGATTCCAGCCATGAAAGTCTTTGACAATACAGTTCTGAATTCTTTTTTTTTTACTGCAAACTGTTCGACAATGTAATAGATTTCCTCAGAAAGCGATTTGACTCCATTTTTGGATGGACATCTTTCAGGGGTGCTCTAGCCCTTATATGGCAAGAGCTTGGACTACACAGCCACGGAGATTCCTCCAAACTCTAAAGATTCTATGATGGCATCTTTGCTCCATGTACTAGGGATATGGAATTACCGGAGTGAGCCACCCTCAGCAGCTTTGGATCAAACCCAACACATCTGCTTTCCTCTGTACGAGCAAGGAAGAAGTTGACCACACCATTGGCGACCACGCAATGAGGAAAGCCTTCTAAGCGATGATAAGAGCCAAATCTGAGGTGTACACAGCTGCTGTCTTCTCCTTCCTCATAAATGACCCGGAACTTGTAATCATTTCCTTGAACAGCACCACCAACCTATTGAGAACACAGGCTCTTATCAGTACTATACAGTCCATTGCTTACCTTGCTTTCACAAACATATCACTGTTGCTGAATAGAATCATGGAGTTGGAAGAGACCTCGTGGGCCATCCAGTCCAACTCCCTGCTAAGAAGCAGGACAATCGCGTTAAAAGCACCCCCAACAGATGGCCATCCAGCCTCTGTTCAAAAGCCTTCATAGAACTAAATATATGTGAACTAAATATACATATTTAGTTCATTAGATAGGCAAAGAGAAGGTATGATCAACTGCATTCTGGGCAAACAGAGGGGTCCACTGGCATGTTCAATGATTTTATGAAATGTCACTTGGAGAGCCAATTACATGTGATAACTTGTTCTTGCCAATCCTCAAACAAGGCCAGGATGATAATAAGAATTGAGATTTACTGTGCAGAAATGGTTTTAATTTTCAACATTATCTTCAAAAGCATAATTTCATCACACAATGATTGGGGTGATTTGGGGTTGGAATTATCATGCAACAATTAGCAATTTTAATTGAACACCAAAATCCAGAGTAAATGTTATCATGTATTTCAACATATCATGTAATTTGCATCAGATAGGCCAAAGGAACAGTAAGCTGCTGGTTTTTTACTTTTCCGAGGACTTGGTTAAATGATGTGATGATGCTAAGAGCAAACTACATTTGGAGAGACCCAAGGACAAGTATTATTTATTTATTTCCAACATTTCTACCCTGTCCTTCTCAACCCCCGAAGGGGGACTCAGGGTGGCTTATAACGGCAACAATTTGATGCCGCCAACAACATAACACATTACATACAACATTATACAATAGATAAAATAGATTATTATCATGTAGCCGAATCAAAGTCTGATTTAGCAACCAACGACCCAGTCCAAAGCCTGTCATCGTCAAAATTCCAACATTATGATTACTGCCAAATCTACTGTCCAAAGGACTGGTCCCAAAACCATGTTTTGAGCTTCTTTCTAAAAGAGAGGGGGGATGGAACTGATCTAATCTCTCTAGGGAGAGCATTCCACAGGCAGGGGCCCACCATCGAGAAGGCGCTGTCCTTTGTCCCCGCCAAATGCACCTGCGAAGAGGGCAGGACCGAGAGCTGGGCCTCTTTGGATGATCTTAAATTCCGAGGTGGGATGTAGAGGGAGATATGCTCAGACAGGTAAGCTGGGCCGGAACTGTACAGGGCTTTATAGGCCAAGACCAGCACTTTGAATTGTGCTTGGAAATGGACCGGCAGCCATTAAAGCTGCCATTTTGAGTTGATTTGGCTACATGAATTTAAAAATTCCTGTCATTAACTGGGTAGCAAATACGTGCATGAGCACATACAAGCATTCATGCATATGCATCTGTCTTTCAATCTAAACAGACAGACATTCACACAAATTTACTTATGGATGTGGCTGGGATATAAATTTCCACCTTGGTGGAACTACTGAATGCCTCCCCACAAACTTTCCTATGTAGTTGCTGTTGGGGAGCAGCAGGTACTGTACATAGCCAGATGCTTCTCAGTTAATCCCTGCTGAGACATGTGGATCCACTGCTCAAAATCAAACAGGATTTTTATACAGAACTATTGTTTTTAATTAAATCTATATTTGCATTAATATATTCTACTTATTTGCTTAACCAACTAAAACACAAGCAATTTAATCAGACAGCAATTCAATTGAACAGAATATCAGTCTAAACATGCACCAGGGGGCAGCACAGGATTTATTTAATTAGTCCAAAGTTATGTCTAAATATGCCATTAGTCCCTCATGGCATATGGCATATGTTCTGTGTCAGAAACTGATGTGGTCCATCTAATGCAATTATCTGAATGAGCACCTCAGTTAACCAAACCGAATCTAAAGTTGACCAAAAACTGATTCATAATCATTTTGATACTAATGTTGGAGAGTAGAGTAGTTCCTGGTCAAAGTGGTCCCTGGTCAAAAAAAAGGTTCGGAATCACTGATCTAGATCAACCCTCTTCTTTGTATAGGACCCAGTTTCTGGGACTAACATAGCCAAATCAAACTTTAAAAAATATATATTTYTCTATCCTTGGGTGGATTTGCTTAGATTTTTTTTTTCATGTCAGCAACGACYTGAGCAACTGCAAGGATATTGCCCAGGTTACGCCCAGATGTTTGAWGTTTTACCATCCTTGTGGGAGGCTTCTCCCACGTCCCCATATGGGGAGCTGGAGCTGACAGAGGGAGCTCTCCCCATATTTGAACTGCTCATCTGTCAGTCATAAGTTCTGCCGGCATAAGGATTAAACCCATTGCGCCACCAGATTAATTGTTGCTTTTGTCATATGTCATCACATCAACTCTGTTATGGCAAGTCTATGAATTACAGAATTAATGTCGATTATTATTATTATTATTATTATTATTATTATTATTATTATTATTATTATTTTGCACATTTGTGCCCCATCCTTCTCACACACCCTCCCCCAGGGGGGACGACACTCAGGGCAGCTTCACAACAAGCACTCATTTTAGTGCTAATCACAAGCATAAAATACAGTTAAAAACAATTCATTTTAGAATACATTATATTAATAAAAACATTTGTTTAAAATCAATAACACCGCTGCTTATGTCTTGCAGACTCAGGGTGGGGTTCCCTTTATTGAAGCAATCTATCAGAAAGTTCATGGGAGCCCCCAGTGGCACAGTGGGTTAAACCCTTGTGCTGGCAGGACTGAAGACCAACAGGTCATAGGTTTGAATCCAGGGAGAGTGTAAATGAGTTCCCTCTGTCAGCTCCAGCTTCCCATGCAGTGACATGAGAAAAGCCTTCTATAAGGATGGTAAAGCATCAAAATATCTGGGCGTCTCCTGGGCAACATCCTTGCAGATAGCCAATTCTCTCACACCAGAAGCGACTTGCAATTTTGCAAGTCACTCCTGACACAAGAAAAAACAGTTAATGACATTTTATTACCACAGTTCAAAAACATGAAAATATGAGTAGATCAATAGGTACTGCTCCAGGGGGAAAGTAACGGTGCTCCATGCAGTCATGCCAGCCACATGACTTTGGAGGTGTCTACGGACAATGCTGGCTCTTCACTTTAGAAATGGAGATGAGTACCAACCCCCAGATTCAGACACGACTGGACTTAATGTCAGGGGAAAACCTTTACCTTTACCTATTAACACAAATACCAAATATTCTTGCAATAATAAAACAGCAAGGGGAGTGGGGGTGTTAATTGCTTTAACATCATACCACATCCAAGTTGGTGTTCTCCAACACAGCCACAAATTCCTCAATCTTGGTTTGCTCAGTGAACAAGAAGTCATCATCCACCCAAAGGTAGTATTTTGTTGTGACCTGAGAGATAGCAAGATTTCTTCCTGCAAACCAACCCTAGTGAACCAAGCAAAGAAGGAGCATTAGAACCCATCGTGCCTTCCAGCACTTCTTAGATGAAAACTTAAAAAACTCTTTGGTGAAACAACATCACAATGTGGTCAAGATGGCAAATGTTATTAATGAGGAAAAACACACAAAAAAGAAAGAGGCTGGAACAGTTTGCTTTGGCCTGAGCCAACAGAGAAGGGCAAGGCTTCACTCTCTCCTCTCTCTTGCTGAGTCATTTGAGTGTCAAATATATTGTTGAAGGCTTCCATGGCTGGAATCACTGAGTTGTTGTAGGTTTTTCGGGCTATATGGCCATGTTCTACATAGAAGCATTCTCTCCTGACATTTCGCCTGCATCTATGGCAGGCATACTCAGAGGTTGTGAGGTCCTCAGAGGTTGTGAGTGTCAAATCCTTTGGCACTTTCAACTCACTTGATATCAGTTGAAATAAGCTGATGACAAAGTGGGAGGAAGCGAGAGAATCTGGGACATTTTAAAAACAGCTGGAAAATTGGAAGACTAATTGGGATGGACTCTGCCGAAGGAGGACAGTTGGAGTGCAAGATATATACAGCCACTTTCAAGCCTCATTCACACCAGCAAAAATTCTGTACCTACTACTCTTAGGAACTCACAATGTATGGCTGTTTTAATAGTAGAAGTGCTTTTGGGGGGATTTAATGCAGTTTTTAAACATTCATGTAACCAAGATGGGTCCCAGCAGCAGAACCAGGACTTGTCCTGGTGAGTGAGTGAGTAACAGAGGAAAGGGTGAGGGAGTGAGCGAGGGAGGGCAGCGCTGCCACCGCCGCCTTTGCTGCCAAGACAAGTGGGATAGGGAGGACAGAGGACGGGTGAGCAAGAGACGGTGGCAAAGGCATCGAATAATACAGACTGTCGGATAAGCAGAAGTCGGATAACTGAGGCTCTACTGTATTTACTAACACTTAGAAAATGTAATTTCTTGTAATTTCACTTATTATGAGGGTTGAATGAAAAGTAATGCCTCCGCCTTCGTTACTTGGGTTTGAATGGGAATATTGTAATAAATCAAACACAGAAATAATCCTTATAATGTGCTCTTTAACTGCCACTATTCACTTTTCCACATAATCACCAGACAGTTGGATACATTTCTGCCAATGATTAACAAGTTTTCTGAAGCTGTCACGGAAGAAGTCGACACTCTGTTTCCGCAACCCATTGTGCCCAGATCTTCCAATAACCAAGCAAAGCAATAATGTGACCCACACGTTCTTGTGAAAAGCTGATTATGCTTGAAATTTCTCTCTGAGTGATACGATGATCGTCCTGAATCAATCTGTCAACTTTTTGCTTGTGAAACTTGGTGGTTGCTGTCACAAGACATCCAACTTGTTGTTTGTCATGCAAGTCAGATGTTCCCACCTCAACATCTTTAAACTTACTTTCCCAATGATGCACAGTACTCACAGCAACACAATCACCATAAACAGCTTGCACTCTCTGATTAATCTCTTTTGGGGTGATACCTTCTGCTGTCAAGAATTCAATGACTGCATGTTGCTTAAGTAGCATTGACCGACTGTCTGAGCAGGGTTCCATACTTTGCACTTTAACAACATAACCGTTTAATGCTAAGGCTTTCTGCCAAAATGGAACTGTAGAGGAGAGTCTACTGAACAAGCCAGTACCTGTCGCATTCCAGTACTGCCATCTGTTCAGGAGTTATGAAGGTGGAGACATTACTTTTCATTCAATCCTTGAAGGTGAATCCGGGACAGAATACTACCAGTATGTATTGGGGATCATTTATTTTACTGTTGTGTTTCTGCTAAGATTAGTTTTCTTTCCAGAAGACAAAAACAGATCAGCACTACAGAAGTTGTAATCCAAATGCGGTTGGGTTGTTGTAGGGCTATATGGCCATGGTCTAGAGGCATTCTCTCCTGACGTTTCACCTGCATCTATGGTAAGCATCCTCAGAGGTAGTGAGGTCTGTTGGAATTAGGAAAAAGGGGTTTATATATCTGTAGAATGACCAGAGTGAGACAAAGGGCTCTTGTCACACCTAGCTCCAGCAGACAAGAGCCCTTTGTCTCACCCTGAAAGTAAAAGTCATCACCTATGTAAATTCTGTGCATTCAGTAATTCTAGTCGTATGCTACTCTAATTCCCATTTAGGTCCAAGGCTTTAGAATAGGAGTTATCGGACTATAATATTAACAATTTCTCATCACAGGCAATGCTGGTTAGAGCTGAATCTGAATAGACAAAGTTTTGCAGTGCTGTGATCAAGTGGATGGAGTATGGTCAACCTTCCTTGTTTAAAAACACGCTTGTCGAATCTCTTGATTGAACCTGATGCAATAAATCACTTGTGAATCAGTAATCATTAACCTACTCCCCAGCCAAATCCAGTCACCTGAGGGTATTGTTTGCCATAATTGCCTCTGGAGTGTATTGGTATAAGGGTTAACACAATGCTGTTTCTTCCTGTAGCACAAGAAGGAGACTGCGCTGTGTTTTAGGGAAAACACTGAACTGGTTCTATTTGAAACACCCCTCTTGCAAGTCTTATTATGTACCTTTCCCCATCAAACAAAGCTCTAGTTAATTTTGTGAACTTGGTATGTGGTGTCCCTTAATATCTCAGGGATTGACGCAAGGCTTATATTTTCATGGCATGCCTTATGCAGTCACGTTTTCCCTAGCCAGACAATTTTGGCAAGATTTCAGAAACTGCTCACTTCACAAAAGACTAAGGCCCCTTCCACACAGCTTAATAAAATCCCAGATTATCAGTATAGATATTCCAGTTCAAAGTAGATATTGTGGGATGTTTTAGCCTTGATACTCTGGGTTATATGGCTGTGTGGAAGGGCCCTAGGAAATTCAGCAATGTGGTATTCACTAAAAGCAACAGCCATACACGTTGGGTACCTTTGCAAATGGCATGATGAAATGTTCGACATTGGGTTCTTCAATCTTCTCCGGATGTTCGCTGTCATCTGCCACAATGATGGTTATATCTGGATAAAATTTCCTGATGCTCTTGATCAGGATCCGCAGCTTGTGGTAACGGAGGAAAGTCTTAGTTGTGATGGTCACTAAATCACGGATATTGTTATCTGAGCCAAAATAGAGAGGAAATAAAAGGTGATCACACACAATGAGAGACTTTGCCCAATTCTACTGATCTGGTAAGGAGCATCCTAAGTAATCCTCTGTTGTCATACTTTTCAGCTGCTTTTGAAATATCACAGTTTCTGAGACTGGGAATTTGATGGCACCACAACCTGTAATTGGTTAATCTGGAGTAGTGTCTGGAAGCAGTCAAATGAATTTTGTTGTATAGAACTTTACTGCAGGCGGACAAATGTCAGTGCGCTGGAAGAAGCAATGACCACCAGCACTGAAGCAATGCTCTGGACTGGCTACATTGTCTGAATGCCTGATCACCGTCTCCCAAAGCAGTTACTATACTCCCAACTCAGGAATGGGAAATGTCATGTTGGTGGGCAGGAAAAGAGATTTGAAGCCAACATTAAAATTGTGACATAGACATTGAGAACTGGGAAGCCCTGGCCCTTGAGCGTTCTAGCTAGAGGTCTGCTGTGACCAGCAGTGATGCAGAATTCGAAGAGGCATAAATGAAGGGTGAAAGGGAGAACATTTTGAGTAGCTACTATAAATGTCCTGTATCAAGACTGCTGTCCTTTCTACATTTGCTTAGATGTGATGTAAAGGTAAAGGTTGACATTAAGTCCAGTCATTTATTTATTTATTTATTTATTTATTTATTTATTTCATTTGCTTATACCCCGCCCTTCTCACCCCGGGGGTGAGTCATGTCCAACTCTGGGGGATGATGCATATTTCTAAGCCGAAGAGCCAGCGTTGTCCATAGACACCTCCAAGATCATATGGCAAGCATAACTGCATGGAGCGCTGTTACCTTCCCACTGAAGTGGTACCTATTGATCTACTCACATTTTTCATGTTTTTGAACTGTTGGGAGAAGTTGGGGCTAGCAGCAGGAGCTCACCTCACTCCCCGGATTCAAACTGCCAACCATTCAGTCAGCAATTTCAGCAGCTCAGTGGTATAACCCGCTGTGCCACCGGGGACTCCAAGATGTGATGTAACTTGCCACAAAACCAAAGTAATTATTGTACTCAAACATATATAGAATGTCTGAAACAACATCTTTCTTTGAGAATGACATTCTTGTATTTTATTGCCTTATTCGTTTACTAGTTACATTCCTCCAATGAAATAGGCTAGCCAAAGAGAGAGTCACTGGGGCACGAGGACCCATGAGTTACATGACTCAGTGAAGCCTGCTCTCACTCCAATACTCTAACAGTTTCACAACAATGGCTCTCTTTGTTTCAACTAATTTAATAACTTTTAGGAAAATAAAATGGGTTGTCACAGTGGTGCTGCCTGAGCATGTGCCAAACCTCACCTGGCCCTGGATCAAACAGCTTCGGCATGTATGGCTGCCGGATAGTCACAGGAAACCGCACATGGTGATCCCCTGTTGTAAAGTTCACTGGAAAACAATAGTAAAAAGGTACAAGCTTAGTTAGTATAGTACTCATTTGGTGGCCAACATCAGCATTGGTCTTACCATTAGACTGAGTGAGGTAGCAGCAGTTGGGAACTGTTGCGATGTTGGAAGATACAGATATGCATCATGGTTCTGTCTTCCAACATCCACAATTCTTCAGTTAGCAGACTTTAATGAATTTTGGGCTCAGTTCAGTTCTGGTACTGAAAATAAATTCCTGGGCTCTGAATGTGTTCAGGAGCATCTTGTTCTTATGTTCAAGGTTTTTTTTGCATCTGTTTCTGTAGTCAAAGGACTTTGTGGGTTCAGTAAATACAAGCAGAACCGACAGATAATGAAGCCTTCCCAATCCTGATTGAGACATCACACATGTTACAGATCCAATACCTGCCTACAATTCTCTGCAATCACAGGTGATTTTGTTTTCAAAAATATATTTAAAAAATCACAAATGTATTGTCAAAGGCTTTCACGGCCAGAATTACTGGAGTGTTGTGTGGTTTCCAGGCTGTATGGTCATGTTGTAAGAATATTTTCTCCTAATGTTTCACCTGCATCTGTGACTGGCATTCAGATCCTCTGAAGATGCCATCCACAGATATAGGCGAAACGTCAGGAGAAAATGCTGCTAGAACACGGCCATACAGTCCAGATTCCATAAAGGTTTTAAAATGAGAAACACAAGGCAATCATGTTTAAAACTGCAAATATTTTACTAAGAATTAAACCAAACTCCAAAAAGTTGAGCAGTTACCTTCGCTTCCAAAAACATACCATGTTTTGTCTCTTTCCAGAATTGAAAGCAACATGGTAGCAAGTTTCTCCTTAATTTGTGAGATCAGCAATATCAGTCCTTTGAATTACATAATAATAATAATAATAATAATAATAATAATAATAATAATAATTTGTATCCCACCTCCACCTCCCAAAAAAGGACTCGAGGCAGCTAACAAGGCAGTGCAAGTGCAGTATAAACATCAACAGTACATGATAAAACAATATCACATAAAAGTTATAAACAACCACTATCAACATAAAACAAAACAAAACACACAATTTAAAAATACTTTCCATCAATGGTTAAAATTAGCTGCCATCAATACGCAACTAAAGTGGCTAAGTGTCAACCTAATAGGCCCATTTCAGCCTACTCAAGACCAAAGGACGGTTTAAAAATCCATGTTTTAAAGCTAGAATGGAAGGATTCAAGAGTAGGTGCTATTCTAATCTCTTTTGGGAGGGTATTACAGAACCTGGGAGCCACAACAGAGAAGGCCCCCTCTCTCGTTCTCACCAACCATACTTGAGACAGTGGTGGGACTGAGAGAATGGCCTCTCCTGCCAATCTCAAAGCCTACGCCAGTTCATAGAAGGTGATACATCTCTCAGAATCCTAGAGAATCCCTCTTGTAACTCTCCTAAATTGTGCTTAACCTTCTGCAGTAACCTAAATGCTAGTTGTTGTGATCACAAATGCCACAAGGAAAAGTGAATGACATCTTCCTTTAGTAATGCAAAGATCTCGGCTCAAGAAGAACCATACTGAATTGAGTAAATGTAGGGATTCTTTAAAAAGGGATCTCCAAGCAAGCAGGTGGGAAATGTAATGCTTTATTTGCACCACAAAAAGTCCTCCCACAAAGACTGCAGAATTTTGTTCAAATTGCAATCTGTTGTATGTCTCTCTTACATCACTAATATCTAAACGTGGGTCAAGTGGAAGGGGGAGCTGAGGAAGAGTTTGCCCAGAAGTTACAAAATCAACTCACCAAAGTCCACTGTGTCTAGTAAGTACTCTGTACTAGTGTATGTGACATGCTTCAAGATGTGGTTTAACAGGTCCACATGAGCAGTAGAGATGATCAGTTTTTTCTTTCCTCGCCCATTCATTATGTCTTGGGGAACATCGGCAAGTGTGTCTAAAGTACCAAAGGATGCCTCTAGGGTCACCTACAGTGTTTGCAAAATGTAAAAAGCACAGCAAATCTTAGTAGCAAAGAAATGTTGCTTCTCCACTTAAACCAGATTAGTTTAGAGCAGGTCTGAACCATCTGTGGCCCTCCAGCTCCCAGAATTCCTGACCATTGGACAAGCTGGTTAGGTCTTCTAGAAGCTGGAGTCCAAAACACCTGGAGCGCTACAATTGTGCACGTCTGGTCTAGAGCTTGGAAAAATGCAGTTTTCACTTTTCACTGCAGTTTTCACTTTCCACCAGCTAACGATTTGCTTTCCCACCTGTCTCTTCCATTCACATATACATTGTAAAGCCTTCCCCTTTTATTTACTAAAATATTCCAGTAAGTTCATTAAATATTTCCAACCCATTTGAGGAAACATTCATCACCCTTTCTTTGGCTATTGGTTTAGACCAGATATGGGCCAACTTTGGCCTTCCAGGTGTTTTGGACTTCAACTTTCACAAGTCCAAAAGACCCGGAGGGCCGAAGTCTGACCATGCCTGATTTAGACTAATCACAAGGCAAACAGATAAGGAATGAGCAATGGACCAGTAGCCAGGAGATGAACAAAACCAGTCTTTCTTTGACCAATAAACAAGCACTTTCCATACTGAAAGTAGGAGCCCAGCAACCATGACTGATAGCTGGATGGGAGTCAATAAAATGTCAGACAGAAGCTAAATTTACTATCAAACTGTGTCTTTCTCCTAAGACAAGGCTCATACAGATATAATCTTCTCAACAAAAGATCTCTCCCCTTCTTACAAAACTAGAAAAGAGAGAAGACTTTCTCCTTCAGGCTTTAATGCAGTATTTTGGGCTGGCCATGAATGTCTATTTTGTCATAACTGCTGTGCTGAGAACTAAAACTTTAGATAGTTAGACTTCTCAAGAGAAACTAACTCAGTGATATCACCTCTCCCGTACAATATCTAGAAACTCTACTTAAAAAATGTATAAAATACATTACCTTCTGTTTCTCAGTATTTTCTCCATGGAAACTAAGCCCTTGAAGAAGAAAAGCAAAGAGAAACTTTTAAGGCTGGAAACAAGAAATAAACAGCAAGGCGCGATCTCATGTTCTATTTTCAAATGTTCATACTGTATTGCAGAGGAAGAATATGGACAGGGCAAATGTTGCCAAGGGCTGCGATATTGGTGCCTGCTTCCTTGTTTGGTTCTGAAAAACCAATCGGCATCCTCTTCATCCTGAGGCATATCTTAGAAGTCGGGGGAGAAATCAGCCCTTTTGTGCTCACCAATCACTAGGCTGCTGGGATATTTTTTTCCTGTATCCTGGAACAAGTTGGGGTAATCCCCATCCACTTTTATTCCATCCAATGCTGAAAAGGATTGAGAGGCAATGGTCCCTATCTAGGCATATTGCTAAAAGGAATGACCAGCAATCAACATATTTTTGCTGTTTGGATTTGCTAATAGTTGCCAACAGTATTTTTCAAGACTTTAGGTAAAGGTAAAGGTTGTCCCCTGACATTAAGTCCAATCAAGTCCGACTCTGGGAGTTGGTGCTCATCTCCATTTCTAAGCCGAAGAGCCAGCATTGTCCGTAGACACCTCCAAGGTCATGTGGCCGGCATGACTGCATGGAGCGTCGATACCTTCCCACTGGAGTGGTACCTATTGATCTACTCACATTTGCATGTTTTCAAACTGCTAGGTTGGCAGAAGCTGGGGCTGACAGTGAAAGCTCACACCACTCCCCAGATTTGAACCTGCAACCTTTTGTCACCAGGGGCTCCGACTTTACCTAAGCTGAAACCTTCAGGAGAATATTCTCACTCCCCCACACCTAAAACTTTCTATCCCAGTGTTTCTCAACCTTCCTAATGCTGTGACCCCTTAATACAGTTCTTCATGTTGTGGTGACCCCCAAACATAAAATTATTTTTGTTGCGACTTCATAAATGTAATTTTGCTACTGTTATAAATCGTAATGTAAATATCTGATATGTATTTTCATTCATTGGAACAAATTTGGCACAAATACTCAATACGCTCAAATTTGAATAATGGTGGGGTTGGAAGGGGATTGATTTTGTCATTTGGGAGTTGGATTTGCTGGGATTTATAGTTCAACTACAATCAAAGAGCATTCTGAACTCCACCAGCGATGGAATTGAACCAAACTTGGCACACAGAACTCTCATGACTAACAAAAAATACTGGAAGGATTTGGTGAGCACCGAGCTTGTGTTTTGGTAGTATTTCATGCTATTATTTCAATATAGATCCAAAAATAAAGCTTGCTGTTAGAAACAAATTCTGAATCCAGGTGCTTAATGAAAGAAGCAGGGATTCCAAACAACTATAGAGGATCATGAACATTTGAAAGGAATAACTAGTAAAGTATATAAGTTCACCTACATCTAGAGAGCACTGTGGACTCAAAGAATGATAGATCTGGATCAAATTTAGCATGAATATTCAATATACCCAAATGTGGACATTGGTGGAGTTTGGAGAAAATAGACCTTGACATTTGGGAGTTGTAGTTGCAGGGATTTATAGTTCACTTACAATGAAAGAGAATTTTGGACTCCATAAATGATAGAATTGGGCCAAACTTCCACACAGAACCCCCATGACTTGAAGGGGCTCGCTGGTGTCCACCCCCTCCCATCTTGCATGCTCTCTCTTGCTCTGCACATGTGCACCATGTTGCCATGCGGCAAGCACACCTCCTCTCCCCTCCCCACTTGGAGTCTCAGAAGCAGCCCTCCCCTTGGCTGAGAGGCCAGTCAAACACAGCGGAGGAGGGTTTTTGGTGAGAGGATTCGTGTCTGTTTCCAAAAAGGATGAGGAGAAGGACAGGCAGAGAGATATTTAGCCTTTTCAGCCCAATTTCTGGTGGTCTTTGGTGACCCCTCTGAAACACCTTCACGATCCCCTCAGAGGTCCTGACCCACAGCTTAAGAATCACTGCTCTACTCTGTGCTTCATTTTCCCTCTTCCCTTTCTTCCTTTTCCATTTGGTTTAATCAACTGAGAAGAGGAGAGATGGCTAGAATGGCATGTGGGCAGAAGCAGAAAAAAAGTTACATTTATCGTACAGAAACATATCTTGTAAGCCACTTTGACTGCCAGGTTGAACAGGGAGCATATAATTAAAGCAAAATAAAATACTTAATTTGTCCCTTGCATTTGACCTGATTTCCCTACAGAGATAAATGAATTTTGACATAATTGCCTATTAACAAACCATAACAATTTACCCTCAAAGATGGGTTTGTTTCAACTTGCAGAATGGGTACCAAGAAGGTTCTGAATTGGAATAGATGTAGGATTTAGAAGGGAAAGCTTTACTTTCCCATCTATGCTGTGCTATTAAGCTTATTTGATTTATTTTATTTTTTGTCGTGTCAGGAGCGACTTGAGAAACTGCAAGTTGATTCTGGTGTGAGAGAATTGGCCGCCTGCAAGGACATTGGCCAAGGGACGCCCGGATGTTTTGATGTTTTTACCATCCTTGTGAGGGGCTTCTCTCATGTCCCCGCATGGGGAGCTGGAGCTGATAGAGGGAGATCATCCACGCTCTCCCCAGATTCGAACCTGCAACCTGTTGGTCTTCAGCTCATTTGATGGCCCACTCAGTTTCTTTATAATTGCCTCAATCTAACTACCAGTACATAAAAGATAGTGAACAAAAAGGGGTATAACAGTGTGCATTACTCCAAGCTTCCTAGAGCAGTGCTTCTCAACCTGGGGTCCCCGGATGTTTTTGGCCTACAAGTCCCAGAAATCCCAGCCAGTTTACCAGCTGTTAGGATTTCTGGGAGTTGAAGGCCAAAAACATCTGGGGACCCCAGGTTGAGAACCACTGTCCTAGAGGAAAGGCAGGATAAACACAAAATTAATGAAATTATGGTTGCGTATCTAGGAAAAGAGACATTGTGGAGTCAGAACCTGCAAGCCAACTCAATTCTAAAAAGTAGAGATTTTCTAGCACTTGGGTCAGACTCAGAATGATGTCCTCTGTCTCTGAAAACCTTCCCATTATGAGAGAAATGTATTCCACGCTATTATTTCTGTATAGATCAAAAAATAAGGCTTGGTGTTGGAAACAGACTCTGAATCCAGGTGCTTAATGAAAGAAGCAAGGATTCCAAACAACTATAGAGGAGCATGAAAATTAGAAAGGAATAACTAGAAAGGATATAAGTTAATAATTGAAATAAAGGAAGGAAAAACGAAAAACAATATCCTCAAGGAGGTCTGGGAAGAAGATTTAGGGATAAAAATAAATGAAACAGAGTGGCAACAATTATGGAGACGTCTAAAAAATGATCAATACAGGTTAAAGAAAATTACTATAAGTTAATATGGAAATGGTACCTAACACCAGTAAGAATACCAAATATAAATAAAAACTTGCTGGAGAGGATGCTAAGAATCAGGAATATATATACATATGTGGTGGCAATGTAAATATGTAAATAATTTTTGGGGGGAAGTATTTAGAGAAATAGAGAATATAACGAACATTCAAATAAAAAACAAGTCCTAGTATAGCTTTATTATCATTATATAATAATAAACAATTGAAAAAAAGAGGATAAAGATGTGATAACAAACTTATTAAAAACAGCAAAACTGCTTATAGCAAGGAATTGGAAAAGAGAAATATACAAATAGAGAAGTGGTACAAGGAAGTATGGAAATTGGCAATAAATGATAAGCTGGCATGTATATTAAAAGTTAAAAGAGGTATATGGAAACAAAGTGATTTTGATGATGTATGGAGAAAATGTATTGAAAAAGGATTTTAAAAGAAAGAAGGAAAGTTACCTCCACAAGAAGAACTGAAATTTTGTACGTATGATATGTAAAAGCTGTGGCTTGGGGGGGAGTGGGGGAGCACAGTGATGACGGATAGATAATGTGTATAAGCAGAAAAATAACACTAGATGCCAAAAGTTGAAGTATTCTAGAGTGTATAGAATAATATGTATCTGCTGTAAAATAAACAATGTATAACAAATGTATTGAACTATAATAAAATAATAAAAACATATTATAAAAAAAGAAAAAGAGTGACCATTTTTCTATGAGTTTAAAAGTAAATCAATAATCAAGAGTGCAATTCATGTAGATTTATGATTCAAGCCACCTGAATATAATATTTCATGTTCTGTTTGAACAGCTTGTACTCTTTCTGCTTTCTTTACTTTGCCGAGGGAAAACTAAATCTCACCTCCAACAGCAAATATCAAATGAATGGTGTGTCGTCCTTTCCTCTTTCTTTGCTCAGTGTTTACAACCATACATAGATATGGGAACTATGATGGTATGGAAAATTCTGACTTTGATAGAACCAAACATACCATTGTCCAAAAAGTGCAAAAGTTTAAGTTACAGAATTGCTTTTAATTATTCAGAGTTTTTGTTGGGAAGGAGGCTAACTTACTAGAATGCAGTTTATCGGATTGCCAACCCCTGAGATTTCATATCATACATTTACAGAAGGTAAGGATAATTAGTATAGGAAGAATAGAGACCCCTAACAACTGTCTGCCTATATTTTCATTGATGAACAACAGGTGGTGAAATAATTTTTAGGGTCAATCTGCTAGTTAGTTGTTATAATGCACACTGAACTTATAGAGGAAACGTAAGAAGGTGATATGCCACGTGACTTTCTCACTGCATCAGGTGGAAATGGAAATATTCTCCTAATGATAGAGTTGTGTTATTTTATTAGGTAAAGAAAAAGGTTTTCCCCTGACATTAAGACAAGTTGTGTCCAACTCTGGGGCATGGTGCTCATCTCCATTTCTAAGCCAAAGAGCCAACGTTGTCCCTAGACACCTCCAAGCTCATGTGGCCAGCATGGCTGCATGGAGCGTCGTTATCTTCCTGCCAGAGTGGTACCTATTGATTTACGCACATTTGTATGTTTCCAAACTGCTAGGTTGGCAGAACCTGCACTAACAGAGCACTAACCGGATCTTCCGGTTCCGGTATGGTGGTCGGCAGCAATAACGCTGAGC